AAGCCTCAAGATGTGAGAGTCTATGGGATTCAAGCTGTGTTGTACCAAGACTTTGTGATCAAGCCGAATTGTAAGAGCTCTGGAAGTAGCAAATGCAGGAGACAGTCTGAGAAAGCATGCATGCTGAGGTAAGGACCTGGTTTTTTTAGCATATTTTAGGTGAAAGCCTGGAAATGTCCAGGTGGGTGCAAAACTCCAGAGGTGGTAAGCTATGGTTTAGCTGACCTGATACGGTGGAAACCATGTAGTGTCCAAGCAGAGCGAAGGCAAATAAAGATGGATTCTAGCAATTTTGAAGGAGGTGAAGGATGAATCTAAGCCTGGGAGAGAACGAAGCCCTGAGGTGGGTTAACCCAGGAGGCTGAGCCAAGTGATAATGATGCGTCTTTCCAACTAGTTAACGCAAATTGGCCTCCACTACCCACACTTTTGTTTACCTGTCTTTGCAAATCATGCCACTCTTTTCAAGGTCACGCACACGTTTCATTAGACAAATCAACCCCTTCGGTCTCTTTCACCATGAATTTGTTTACTTTCGCAAGTAAATGCACAGCATTACGCTCTGTAGCACCGCAGTATAATCACGTCTCTGTGTTTGGTGCCTTCAATTTGGGAAAAGGCTTGAAAGGTGCGGTATGGCAGATGATGTGCCAGTCGAGAAATGAATAATGATAATGCCTCGTACCTGGATTACTGTAACATCCGCTAGTAAAATTTCAAGGATGAGAGACTTACAGGAAATAAATGTTGCATGGTTAAAGAAATTAGCTTTTATTAAATGCATGATTGCACAGTATTAATTGGATTAACAAATTACACAACTTCTTATGTATGACCATATGATTGAGTGTAATGTAATACAGCAGACTGAATAATGCCTGCATCCCCTGCAATGAGTTCTCTGAGGTATTGGCCAACATAAAACTTTGTACACGTAACTGTGGTCACAGCATTTGCGATACTTTTGCAATTCAGGATCGTTTTGAAAATATAAAAGCAGTTTTCAAAATGATTTCCCAGTTCGCCACACATTCGTACTCCTGGAAAGACTGAAAGATACAAAGAAACAAAAATTTTCTGGTTGTCATCCACCAAATAAATAACTAAATGATATTTTCTCATTACCGTGATGCTTACATTTGTGTACCACAGAAGAAAACAATCGGCCTCGGAGCAGACTCTTTTTAACGCGTGCATCGTGATTACGCCTGTGAACGAAGTGTCCATGATCTTGTATGCAGAAATTTCTCAAGTTCTAAATTGAATTGACGATCAGCCTGCTTATTTTTGTAGACGATTAGTTTCAGCATATAAAAGCACTTGTGACCACAGACATCAGTACAGCAGTTGAGCAAAAATGAAGAAATTGTGAAGTATAAACATGCGAGTTCTTAATAAATTTATATAATCTATTACACATTGTTTCACGAAAAAAGTTTTCGTGAAGTTTTGATTCTTCTAGTCCCTTATCATATATGATACCTTTCAGTAAATTATTCTGAATTATGTTATTCATCAACAAGTGAGACATATGCCCTGTATCATATTCCAAACGATGTGAACCCTGTTGTGCGAAGATGGACAAATAATATACAGTAAGTGTTACTTTTTGACATATTTTTGCAAAAATGTTATCCCCTTTAGGATAATTTTCTTGAAATGGGATAGAAAAAACTTTTTTTAGTTAATTTCTTTGTCTCTTAGTTTGCCTTTATTAGAAGTGTCCTTCCTGTGACTAAGGCGATTCTGAGTGGAAAGGGACAATTACAGTAGAAACCTTTTAATATGTGTTATCGATGTTTGTGTGCATAATGGGCATAATTTTTTAAAAATACAGGCTGAGCACTAAAGAATTTTAAACTTTCAAAATGATACATAAAACAAATGCAGGTTATGTAAAACTCAACACTTACACCAGTTGATATAAAAACTCTGAATATTTTGTCTTAAGTGACCCAGGTGATTGATTGCCGTTTCACACCTCTGCTGTATGCCACTAGTTTTGAAAATGCCTACCCACAGCAGAGGAATTTGTGTGTTCTGCAGTTAGCAATGCAAGAGTGTAACAACTGTGCAACGTGAATTTCGTACACAATTTCATATGAACTACCATTCCGAGTATCCATTTACGCTGCAGTCTTTGTCAACGTTGAGACAGTGAATCACAAGTGCCATAGCCTCCATCACTAGGGAGAGACAGCACAAAGTTTGGGACATGTTGGATTTTCATACCAAAATTTGCCGTGCGACTCGCAGAGAATGTATCAATCTCTGTGAAGTGTGTACAAAACTTTTATAGTGTTTATATTAACTGGTGTAGGTGTGGAGTTCCAAGTGTGTCAGATTTGTTTTCTGTAACGTTTTGAAAGTCTGAAGTCCTCCTTTGCTCACCTGGTATTTATTACACGCAGAACGCCTCAACGAGGGTGAAAAGCTTGCATGATTGCTTCTCCAGAGAGTGACAAAGGAAATGAGAATCTAGAAAAGTTGCATTTTTAAAAACACTTTTCTTTCATTGTCCATCGCATCACTCAACAACGCATAAAACAATGGAATGGTAGGGAAAAATGGAGATGCTGTTGTTTAAATGGCTTTACAAAGAACTAAATAAACTAAAATACTTTGAACACTACTATTAATGTACCCAATAACATCTTTTACTGAAGAAAATCACCCCATCTTGCCCCAGTGTATGGGGCAAGACGGAATGAACATGCAGCAAAATGGGGTTCTTCTTCAACACCTTATTCTAAATACAAGAGACACAAATGTGCAGTTTTACTACATCTATGAATGATGTGCAAGCATTTTGCATCATCCACAAGGTCTTGTTAATCATGGACTTTCAAGATCTTTGTCTGCAGGAGGTGTGTCTTCCTTATTCTCGATTTACCAACGTGGTGCTGGCAAAATTTTCATTCCGAATTTTTATTAGCATGAATGCGATGATGATTCTGCAAGTGATACCGTTTGGTGAAGGATTGTTTACAAATTTCACAAGAATAAGGCCGCTCACCAGTATGTAAACGCACGTGTCTAGTCATGTCACCTCGATGTTTGAAAGACTTATTGCATACATCGCACAAATACGGACGTTCTCCAGAATGTACTCGCCGATGTCCGTTCAAATCAGAAGGGAAATAAAAAGATTTCTCACAAATATCACATACATATGGACGTTCGCCGGTATGAACTTTTAAATGCTTCTTCAGGTTGTTTGACTCACAATAAGTTTTCTTACATATGTCGCATGTATATGGTCTCTCGCCGGTATGAGTACGTAGATGATGCTTCAGGTTACCCAACACGCCAAAAGTCTTCTTACACACATCGCATGAATACGGCCTTACTCCACTATGCACTAGTGTATGTCTCTGAAGGGCACCTCCTTTTTTAAATGCCTTATTACAAACTTTGCATACAAATGGTCTTTCTTCGCTGTGAACATGACAATGGGCCAAAAGCATGCTATGATATTTAAATGATTTGTGACAGATATCACAGAAATAGGGTTGAACTGTGCCATCGACAAAATTAATATTCTGAAATGAGAAAACGTACATATCACCCTTAATCAATAATTAAGTTAAACACATCACACCAAACCATCATCTAACATGGATATGTAAAGCACAGATTTTAAGTAAGGATATCAAACTCAGAGTAATTTGGTAAAGGATGATAATGGTAATTTGCTTGCAGATCAAAATCCAATCAAAATTGTGAATAGGTGGAAAAATTTATTTAGCCAGCTCTTAAATGTTCATGAGACTGGTGATATTAGACAGATTAAAATGCATACAGCTGAACTGTTGGTGCCAGAACCTAGTTTAGATGAAGTTAAATTAGCCATTGAAAATTTGAAAAGTTATAAATCTCCAGGTATTGATCAAATTGCAGCAGAACTGATTAAAGCAGGTGACAAGGTTGCATATGGAGCTCCATAATTATTCCTATTCATAAGAATTGGGATAAGACAGTGTGGTAATTACTGAGGAATTTCACTACCTCATACAAAATTCTATCAAACATCCATATGTAAATGAAATTATGGGGATCATCGGTGTTTTCAGATGTAACAGACCAACAATTAATCAGGTCTGCATTTGTCAGATGGTTTTGCAAAATTTAAAACTGGTAAGTCAAAATCAGATGATGCTAGTTTTGAAGTGTCAAGGATCATTGTTCAGGATGGGAAACCACTCAATGATGGAGACATACAGAATTATAGTATGAATGTGCTCCATTCCTTTTTGAAAATTTTTCCAAAAAGGAAAATGTTCTATTGACTCTCTTTCAGAAATACCTAACCTTAAACAAAGTACATTGCGTCACAAAGAAACATATTAAATGAATATGAACATATAACTTACCTTCTTTTCAAACTTTAGTAGCAAAGGATCTTCCTCATGTTTCAAATCAACAAGGAGGCTTCCATTTTGAACATATGACGAACATACTTCATTATCTGGTACAGTTTCCTCATCTATTGCATCCAAAATATCCTTAGAACAGCCAAATTAAAATTAATCACTAATATAAATTCACTTTTATTACAAAGGGATGCTGTGCAATGCAATGAATCAAGATTGTTAAGACATGATTAACCCAAAGTAAGTGCAGTATTTATACAATGTATTCCTTATGTTTCTATGATTATTTAGTAGGAACTTCTAACAATTAAGTGAAAAACTGAAATAAAACTTAAAACCTTGCATATCGTGCTGTGTTGAATATTTATATAAAACGTATAAAATCATGCATACAAAGAAAACTGTTACACATTAAATAACACTTTGTGCCAAACACGTTTCGACCTAAGACGTCATCATCAGTGGAAAAACTTTAATTCATCCGTCTGTCTATTAAAATTATACAATTCTTGAAATGATGGTTTGTTAGAAAGCGCTGAGCATATAAAATTCCGCACTTTATAAAACATTTCTTCATGTAAAACCACACTGAACGTTTAATTGCACATGAGTTGGTGTATTATCTAAATTGAGTTACTCACCTTAACGTCCAGCGGGCCAACTTGAGGTTTCCGTTGTTGGTCTACGGTGAGCTGTGGTTGTGTTGTCTGTGCCTGGATTGCGAACTTCAACATTGCGTTGGCAATGTCGTTTTGTTTGCATGCATGATTTTATATATCGATACGCTGCACGGTATGCAAGGTTTTAAGATTACAATATAATCAGAGCCGGTGGTTAGACTACGCATTCTCATAAATAAGTGATGGGATCAATAATGGCTGTATTCAAAACAGATCTTTGTAGTTTCCAACTTCAACTCTTCCATGTAATAGATAAATCACACACCACAATAGTTTGCGATCAACATTAAACTGCCAGCTGCCCATCATTTTTGTTTATCCTGACACTTATAATTATGGAATCTATCTAAAAATGCTATTGTCCAATTTTCTTCAGGTTACTGAATAAGACTTGTGGAATAGTCATACATCTTTATTAAATTACACACACCTATGAATTAAGTCAGGTGACAATAGGATGTGGAATATTTTGTAATAATACAATACACAATATACAAGTTCCATTAATACTATTTTTAAGATTTCATAAATTATAAACAAAGGGATCACATAATTAGTGAGGTTTTCACAATGGTAAGTCCAAATATGGCCATCTTCTGGGTTGTTGCGCCATGTAGTCTGGTAGAAGTTTACCGAAGTTTAAGAGATCCAAGCTGCCTCCATCATCAGGGCAATGATATCAAGACTACACAACCAAATGGTCATACAACCCAGAAGACAGCCATCTTCAGGCTCACTGCCTTGAAAACCTCAAATCCTACTACATGATCAACACTAAAGGATGCTAAAATATAAGCTTATATACCTGCAACATTTTATCACCACTGGTGAAATATAATGGCTTTAATACTGAAAGTGTGGGGCTTCTACCAAGAGGATCATTTTGCACATATTACAAAGAAACAGAAATACTAGAGTATATGAGATATGATTATTACTGCACTGACCGGTCTCTCCCACTTCCTGACAAAGGCAAAAGTAAAGGATATATATATCAAGAATTTCATCTTTCACCACAGCCTCTTGATGAGTTTTTACTTCCATTAGGTAGGTTATAATGCTTGGCATATGTTTATTCAATTGTGTACACTTGTGTGTGTGGAAGAGAAACTCAAACTTACCTCAGGCTCACTTTTTACTGCAATAAATGTAACTGGAAATTCTTTCTTTATGTTCTCAACCTCATCTTGGCACATAGAAAATGTGTTTATCCCCATATCCGAATCTGGTTCTTCCTTAATTTCATCAATGCTAAGCTCCGATATAACCTTATTCATACCTGACCTTAAACGTATCATACAGAATAATACACATAAACTTTAGTTTCTGAGAAGTATCCCATCTACTTTATTTCAATGGCTCAACAGGTTAATCTAATAAACATATCAAGTAACAAGATACTTCCCCTGAAAACAAAAGTATTAGCACATTAAACAGTAAGTTTCGTTTTCCAATTTATTAAATATTATGGCATGTATTTGTAACCAGGATAAGAATGTTACTGAAATATTAAGTCTTAAGACACCAAAAACAACTTTCAAACTTTGGCTTGTTGGCTCATACTTCACTGCCCCTCGATCGTATCAGTACTAGCAGTTGAATCGAACATGCCTTGATTAATTTAAACAGAATGTATCCCACATATTGTTTTTGACATTACAACCCTCATGCGAATTTCCAGAATTTTGAAACATACATTAAAACGTTCCTCTGCAGTCATACTAACAATTAAATAGGAACTATTCTTCCGGTATTTTAATCCATTGGGGATATCATGGAAAATACAGGTCTACGTCTTTCAAAGTGCTGTGCTGGAAACCCATATGCGAGAATATAAACTGGCCTCAAGAGGTTGACAACAGAAACGTAAATTTAAACTTTTAAATGAAATTAACTGTTGTAATATCGCAGATGACTTTCCCTGGAAGTCTCGTCGCAAGGTGACTGAACTAACCTGGCAAAGAGGTTAATTTCAATAGAAAGTCTGGCGAATCGCCTGGCTGAATCTGTGAACTTAGATGTGATCATGGTGCTAGGGCATGCTTCATTCATAGTTCTTAGACACACTTCATTTTCGAATTTCATGGCAGGCTTTGTTTTAAACTTTTATCTTAGAAATTATGTATTGGATCACTGAACGAGGGATTGCTGCGATAGGTCGATCAAC